TTTTTGAAAAAACTGAAGAGATAGCCAGGCGACCTATAATAATTACACCAGGGCAAGTAGCCCCTGCTAGAGTTGCCTGGCCCCTTAACCACCCAGACTGGGACTATAACAATCAAAACCACTGGGATGAATATACGAGGGCTAAAAATAATTTAATGGAAGCCGTCTAGGAGATAGGGAAAAGGCCCCTGAACTGGTTTGAATTCCAAAAAACCCCCAGATGCTTTCTGGGTCCATCTCTTAGAAGCCGGAGTCACATTTGCTCATTTAGACCTAGACTGCCAAAAGGACCAGAAAATTCTTGCTGCTGCCTTTGTTAATCAATCGGCAAGTGATATCCGGGGGCACTTTCATAAGATAGTCTCTAACTGGTTGACATTAGACATCTCAGAGTTGTGCAGAATCACAAACTTTGTATTTGACCAGAGGGAAAAGTTAGCAGAAGAAGAAAAAGAAAGAAAGGAAGCAGACAGAGAGAGGGGGGGGGGAAGAGGCATAGAGCAGAAAGAAGGGAGGACTTACAAGCCTTTGCAATGTTAAACAAGGATAGCAGACAAAGGCAACACAGATCCCCCCCAGGGAAGGACAAAATGCGGGCAGTGCGAATTTAAAAGGGAAACATTCTGCAGGCATTGCCTCCATTGTGGGAGGGAGGGACATTTTAGCAAAAATTGCTGGGGAGGTCAAAACAGGGAAAACCAGAATCATAACCAATCAAGACCTCCCTTTCCTAGGGAAATCACACACCATCAGAATGAAGATAGGGACCGAGCCCAGCCCCGATGGGAACAACAGGAACATGACATGTCCTGACTAGAAAGCGATTATAAGGCCACATTTCATGGGCCGGCTATTCCCTTAAAGGACGGCCCCGACGGAAAGCCCCTTTTGACAGTAACTATAGGGGGAAAGGCATATGAATGTCTCACTGGAGCCACCTCCTCTCTTATCACTATGGCACCCTTTAAAGATTCAATAGTGCCTGGGGCCAATGGGGGTGGGAGGGAAAATTATCCTGGTCGAATTCACAAAAAATCTAAAAGTGGAAGTTGGCCCTTTTCCCCTAGAACACCCGATCACCGTTTGTCCCCAATCTCCCATCGCTCATGGGCAAGGACTTGTTTTGTAAACTGGGGCCAACCATTAAATGTACTACAGAAGGGCTCCACTTAGACATTGCATTCAAACACGGCACATTTTACCATGGTATGTTCAACTGAAAAAGAGATCCAGTTTCCTATAGATCTCAGAAGCCTACCAGCCTCTCTATGGGGGTGGGATCCCACCATAGTGGGATTACTGAAGGGAGCCACCCCAGTTACGATTCAGGTAAAGGCAGGACATCACCATGCATTCCCCAGGACAAAATACAGCCAGAAGCAATAGAGCCCATTCAGAAGCTAATAACAACATATCTAAAACAAGGGGTATTGTTCAAATGCATTTCCCCCTGTAACACTCCAATCTTTCCAGTTCGGAAACCCAAATTAGACAGTGAAGGAAAGCCCATTTATCGTTTTGTACATGATATGAGAGCCATAAATAGTCACGTGGTATCAAGAGCACCTATAGTACCAAACCCAGCCACCATAATAACAGAAGTGCCAGGGTCAGCCACCCACTTTACAGTAGTGCAAGGCTTTTCAACCAGTGGTAGGGGTACATTGGCACCGGGCAGGTGGTACGCGACCATCCTAGAAAAGTGGTAGCGGGGGAGGGGAATGAGCTGAACCGGTGGCAGCACCGCACAAGCCTGAGCGACAGACGGCTGGAGCTGCAGGGCTGTCAGGGCTCAGCGGAAGTGCCAGGATCAGTGCTTCTTCGGGACTGTCAGGGTTCAGTGGAAGCGCCAGGATCAGCGCCAGGCTCCAGCTGGAGCTCAGCACTGATCCTGGTGCTTCTGCTGAGCCCTGAAGAAGTACCAATCAGGTGGAATGCTGCAGCCTCTCCAGAGTCTTGTGATTTACATTCAGATGCTTGGCAACTGATTCATATTTATGATGGTCACAGTGTCCCAGGGTCATGTGAAATGACCAAAACCTGCTGCAACCACCCAACAGACGGGAGAAATAAAAACCAAACACCCCCCCACCCTACTCCCGCTGTCAATCCTCAACAGAAATGCTCAATGAAAACCTCGGACAGGAGGAAGAGCACTGCCGGGTGGGCAGGCAGGTGTCTTGCTCGGCTGTGGCTTGTGGGGCACTTTTTTCAGTGCCATTGTAACTTTGAACAATCACTAAGTGAAGTGTTATAAACCGAGGACTACCTGTACTTCATCACTTTTTTTACTTTTTTCGGGGGAGGGGTGATCATCAAGTTTTTGACACCTTGCTAAGCGACTGCTGGTACTCGGATATTGCCATATCCTAAAAGTGGTACAATGGGTGAAAAGGTTGAAAAGCCCTGCAGTACTGGATCTTTGCACAGCCTTCTTCAGTATCCCTGTGGACCCTGCATCACAATATCTCTTTGCCTTCACATGGGACAAACAACAATACACCTGGACTCAGCTGCCACAAGGCTATGCTGAGTCCCCCACCCTATTTTCCCAAATCTTAAAAGAAGACCTTGCTTCTATTTCCCTGCCACACAATTCTGTATGTGGATGATGTATTATTGGCTTCTGAATCTGAGGGAAGTTGTAAGGCAGATATCTATCATCTATTGGAATGCTTGTGTGAAAGAGGACAGAAAGCCTCACCCTTAAAGCTACAGTACCTTAAAAAGGAGGTGATTTACTTAGGGTATATTATTGCCCCCAGGATTAGAAAATTAGCACCAGAAAGAGTTAAGACTATTTTAGGAATGAAACACCCATGAACAAAACGCCAAGTCCGTGCTCTATTAGGGGGTCTTAGGATTCTGCCGCCCTTGGATTTAAACAAGGTCTAAAGCTTACTTTGAGATATAAACTTAGTTCCACATTAAAAGTGCTTATTTGGCACAAGTGGAGATTAGGAACTGGGAACTCCTTAGACATTCAATTATTTTTAATGGAAAGGTCTTATTTCTGTCTTGAAGTTTGAATGAAACTAAGATAAATACGGTATTGTCTATTTTGTAATCCTGATTTTGAATCACTCTGTGGAACATAGAAATAAGATGGGGGGAGGGGAAAGTAAACCTTATAATTTTAGTACACATCTGAGTTTATATTGGACAGCCTATTTTTAAAGGCCTCTCAAGTTGATATGAAAATTGCGTTTTTAACAATGAGCAGAGAATGTGTGTATGTTTCTTTAATGGCAGTTGGATATGCTTCCTGCAACAAAATAGCCAAGAATAGCCAATAAAGAGTTCACTCCCAGTTTTTTTTTCCTGATTAGACCTTTTTAATTTAATTTTTAATTCCAAAATAAAAAATAGCCATTACTACAAATTGGGATGTCAATACCAACCATTATTTTAATTTTCCATAATTTGAGGGCTGAATAATTCTACAACACCCTGAAGTGCTGATATTTTTAGGCTTGATTCCAAGCTGAGAAAGGTGGGCTGAACCTGGTTTGGATTTTCAGCAAAAAGTGCTTCCTACAAAACACACCTCAAATTGCCACAAACATTTTACAGCCTTAATCCAGAATGCAGCAGCTGCCCACAGAATTTTTACATGCCTCTGATCTGCTTGTAGTCACGTTGCGGGTGGGGCAGGCTAATGTCTAAAAAAGCTAAAATACCGGTACATTCCTGGGTTTATCTATAGCAGGGCTTCCTAAACTTTTTTCTTCATTACCGAGAACCCTTTATCTGACAGTGTTTCTCAACCTTGACAATTTTAAGGCATGTGGACTTCAACTCCCAGAATTCCACAGCCAGCATTGCTGGCTGTGGAATTCTGGAAATTGAAGTCCACATGCCTTAAAATTGTCAAGGTTGAGAAACACTGCAAGTCCTAACCGTATTGAAATATTCCTATTATGATTGAATGAATAATGGTTCATGTATTCTTACCCAAAGGGAGGAAAAAACACTTTTTTACTCAATTTTGAGTAATTTACCCAGGTTTGAAAAGCGCTGATCTATTGCTTTCGCTTATAAGCTCTCGTTCTCTTCCAGGAGGAAAAGAAACAAAAGTAGGAAAAAAACGAAAGGAAAAAAAAAAAAAAACTTTTAGAGAACAGCTGTAACGGAGAAATGGCTACGTAGTAGGCATTTCGAACTACGGACTTGAAACACTGGAAATGGTAGACTTGCCTATGCAATTATGAACAAACTCCTCACGCTTCAGTCTAGAAACAAGCTGAGACTTTTTCAATGTATGGTTAAATGAAAGCATATTTCAAAGCGTGCGACGTCCTGCCCGAGCTTCGGCTAGGTCGCCCTCCGCCGCTGACGACGGCAGCTCTCCTTTTCACCTAAGGAGGGCGCGCGAGAGCGAGAGAACCCACCGCCGAGTTCTACATTGTAACTCCACAGACGTGGGCGTGAGCGACAAAGCATCTTCCGTTTTCCGGTCGCGCGCAGCCGCAAAGGCGGGTTGACTCTCGCGCAGGATGCCAGAGCGAGTCGTCGCCCGGCCGAGGATTTAGCCGCGGTGTGGAAGAGCGTGTCTGTCGCCGCTGCCTGGCCGGAGGGAGGAGGCTCCGGCGCCAGTGCCGAATTCGGTCCCGCTAGTCCCCGCCGCGCTTACTGGTTCCCCTCCCCCGGGCCCGCGTCCTGCTCGGTAGAAGGGAATGAGACCGAAGAGGTTCCCGGACCAGGCATGCGGTGGCGGTGATTGAATGAGTCTCTTGCCTCCCAACCGCCACCTCTGGGCCTCTCTGAAGGCCGGTTCCCAGCCAGTGTCTTCATCCGCTGCCTCCCGCGCCGCCTCTGCTGGCTCCGGATGAGCGCGGCCGGGCCGGATCGATCCCGGGCCTCTGGGATTTGGGGGTCTGCCGGCCTGGCGGAAGCCGCTGTGATGCCGGCTTCCCCGCGCGGGGCCAGGCTGCCTTGGTGAGGGCCGGTAGCCGTTCCCGGGTGTGAGCCAGCACTGTCATCTTCTCTGCCGCCGCCGCCGCCCCTCCCGCCTTCCCGGCGCGATGACAACCCCGGCTCTGCTGCCTCTTTCTGGGCGCCGGATCCCGCCTCGCAACTTGGGTCCGTCGTCCTCCTTCCCTCATCACAGGGCTACCTTGAGACTGTCCGAGAAGTTCATCCTGCTGCTGATTCTCAGTGCCTTCATCACGTTGTGTTTCGGGGCGTTCTTCTTTTTGCCGGACTCCTCGAAACACAAACGGTTCGACTTGGGCTTGGAAGATGTCTTGATTCCTCACGTGGATACCAGCGACGGTGGGAAAAACGCGGGTGGCTTCTTGATCCATGGGCAGGGCCACGACCAGCACAGACACAGGTAACTCTGTCGCCTTCAATTTGTGTGGGATGCGATACATTTCTGGGAAATACAATGCCTGTATGTGTTGAAATGCAGTGTTTTCCTGAAGAATTACGGTATGCTGATGGGTTTCTGTCTTGGCCGGAAGGTTGCCTAGGGTTGTCCAGAAGAAGCATCCCTCTGTTGTCATAGGCTTGATCTTTGAAATATCGCAGTTTTATCCCATTTTCTCTACTGTAGCAGCAATTCTTCTCTTTCAAGGTAAGTCACAAATGTGGTATTCTACAAACTCAACACTACCATTCAAGGACTGCAATACAGGAAAAATCCACAAAAGAGAAGACAAATGCCTCTTTTCTGGAACATGTCTGAGAGTCCAGGAATATAAAAGCTTTGGATAGTGGTACAGTGCCCTCTTATCTTCGCTAATTTGACATGTGATATAATATTAGCAAAATCTTTTTATATCTGGAATGTAGTCAGTTTTTTGAACAAAGAGCCGAGTCAGTTCTAAAATAATAATACTTAAAGATGTCAACAGATGTGGCAGTATGCATATATTTATCCTGCCTTTCATATACATTCAAAACCAGTTATAAGCAGGCTTGTAACATAATCTTAGCAAATGGAATTGGGAAGTTTTTAAATGCCCACGTTTTTAAATGCAATAGGATGAAAGACTGACAAAAATCAACGAGCAATATTATCAGTGAGATAATAAACTCTGAACTTAGTTTGTTTATAAATATATCAGTTTCTCTTTTTAAAAATGTATCAAATAGTGATTAAAACAATTCAGCTTATTTCAAGAGAAAAATGTAAGATACCAGACCTAATTGGGATATTACTGAATTTATGTAGTTCAGTTATTTCTTTAATACAAATGATAACAAAATTTGAAAAGGATCACACTCAGTTTTATTCAACATTAGAGACCGGATGACTTTACATTAGAGACTGACTTTATAAATCTAACTTTAATTATTATTATGTATTGTGTTATGTGTAAAGCACCTGAACTCTCCCAAAATGAATATATTTTTGTTTGTAGTTGCTTCCTCCTCTTGTCCAAGAACTCAAGGAGGCATATATACCATTCCTGCCTCAGTTTTTCTAACAACAAGCCCCCCTATGGAGGAATTTGAGCTGACAGAAAATGATTGGCCCAAAGTGACCTTCCAAAGCTGCGGATGAATTTGAATCTGGTCCAAGTCCAACACTTTTATAATAACATTACATTAACTCTATTGGAACCTTAATACTAAAAGAACTGGTTGAGACTGTCTCTCAGCAAGAGAGATGATGGGCAGTACTCTTTCTCTGTCTATTCTGTTCTGAAAAGATGAGGAATAGTTTGGAAATGTAGGAATAGAAATAATTTGGAAATGTAAATGACCATCAAATCCTTTCTCCCAATTTCACTGTCAGAGATCTGGAGGACAACAGTTGGATGCAGCCCTAGTTTCTAAAGACTTTAATCTATAAGCATGCTATTTTTTAATCTAATAGTTATGCTTGTAGGAAAAAATGTTGGAAAAAATGTTATCTTGTGTTCATAGAGTTTTCTTGTCTGCAATACTTTCCTGGTTCATTTCATTTAACAAAAAATGTGGAAGTATGTGTGTTTGTATATTTAAGTATTTTGATTATAAAAGTAAAATCTAATATAAAATAAATGAAGAAAATAGAGAGAAATAAAAAATGCAAGGAAAAAGTAAGAGAAAAGTAAGAATATAAGAATATAATTAAGAAAAATATAAAGAAGGTACTTCCAACCTTCATCACAACAAGTATAAACAAATTTAGTATCTTTTGTTCTCTAAAGTTATAAAGATTTATTTCTTCATCTCATATCTCTTATCTATAAAACAAATCCAGGTGTCAGCCTTCCCAGGCAGACCAGACAGGAAACACAACCAAATGAGCTAATCATATTTTATTGTAATACATTAACATACAAACTTTAACAGAATCTTGCAAATTTCCAAGTACAAATATCCTGCTGTCTCGTTTACATTCTGAGAGGATTCCTTGGCACTCTCTTTCTCTGCCCATTATGCAGTTGTGAACTATGCCTTTTCCTTTTTGATTGTTCCCTTAGGCGGCATTTCTTCCAAGGCTTTCCTATATGCCATTACATCAGGTCACTCTCTTGGTTTGTCATTTGTGTTGTTGGTTCCTTTTGTAGATCTAGTGAAACATCCTTTTCTAAGTCAGTCTCTTGGCCTGCCAGGTGTAAATCCACTTTTGGTACAATCTCTACCTTGTCAGATATACTATAGATATAGATATAATCTGTCCATAGAAACAAACTTCATTACTGACATTGTTGATATTGTATCGGTAGTTCCTATGTTCGGATTCTGTTCTTCAAAAGACTCCTTCAGTGTTTTTATTGTCAAAATGTTTTGTTCCATTTTGCAGGCCTGTATATTCTTTCTCACTTTTTGAAATCATGAAATTATTTCTGTTTCTTGTAAAAACCAAAACAGGATCTATTTCCCATGACAAGTTGTTAGCATTTTATAATTAATTTCAAAATTAATTCCAAAATCTGGACCTTTGTTCCATTTATAATTTTTTAAGATCAAAATCTTATGTAGCTTTTTGTTGTTTATTTCAGATTCTTTAAATTCTTAAGCTTATGATTAAAATTTTCTTTCATTAAACTCTGAAGACAGACTCACTTCTATTTTAAAATAATTGTTCCAAAGATGGCTAGTGGCTTACAAGTAGTTAATGGTGATTTCCAAAAGTGATTAGAAAATGAGGTTTGCGCTTTTAAGTCTCTGTGATGATTGTGAGCAAGATGGCTAATTCCTATTTTCATGGAAAACCATTGTCCTACAGTCTCCAGCTGTCTGGGGCACATGTGGGCAATCTCCCATCCCTCCTTTATCTAGAAAGGTTCCAGGGCACTAGTTTACTGATCGATTCCTTGATCTTTGCCAAGGTTGTCAGATCAACTTTTGCTGACCTCAGTCTAATATTCAAACAAACATTTTGTATGCACAATTCAGTTCTCATGCTTTTTATTTACTCTTTTTGTATATGTCTCTGATTACCTTCCAAGGGGATAATATTGATTGGAATTGGTTGCCAGATATTGGCTTATGTTAGCTATATTTTTTAAAGAAGAGGTGGGCATTCTTTTTGTACTGCAGAGTCTTACTTTCAAAACTCTTTTCCTGACCACTGAGTGCTATTGGGAGGGAGGGGCTTGACAGTAATCAGTAGCCTTTTCTCTAAAACTGTATAATTTATGATTTAGACAAAATAAACTTACAAAAATATAACTGGAGGTGAATTCTGAATATTAATTTTCACATTATTTTCTTTGCTGTATCCATAAAAGGTTAACTGTATAATTTAATAATTATTATTTTAATTTTTCTCTAAGAAATGTTATTAAATGTATTTTAAATAGGCATCTTTAAATATTTTGTGAGCTTTCATAAAATCTTTTTCAATCTGGATTATGAAAATTTTCCTCAACGTATCTGGAAAACTACACTGAAATTTTAAGTAAAATTTTACAGGCAGCCAGGATAAACTATGAAGTCCTTGGTGGACCCCACAGTTCAACCCTAGGCTACAAATATTCTCTTCTATTGGTGCCAGGATTAAGTTAGGATCCTAAGAATGGTAACTTCTGGCTGGTCTGTGACTGCAGTAAAATGAATTAAATTGAATGATAGCTTCTTATAAGTGATTTGAGAAATCCCAGTGTAATTTTATTAAGTAATTTTCTGCTTAGTCTGAGTACAAATGTATAACGAATATTTTAAAAAAGGCTCTGGGATCGTGTGAATTGTAGGTATACATAGGAAAGGCAGCAGGAGCCCAACTTATTTCACAGTTGTTTTTTTATGGAGGTAGCCTCATGTACACCTCCTTGAGCTCCTAAAGTGAAAAGTGAGTTACAAATCAAGTATTACAAAGATGTCATGTCATTACTCATACCATAATTTATATACTTGGATTGCATGGAATGCTAATATGTAATGGCAAGTTAGATGATGTCACGATATGCTATAACTTTGGGTTCTTTGTGCTTTACTGCTGATGCCACTTTCTCAGACACAATATTTAGTTTTAATTAAAATAAAATGTAATCTTGTAAAAATGCTAAAACTGCTATCTGAAATAGGAACTTCTTCAGCTGAAAAGGAGACTTACCTAGCACATATAAGATTTCTCACTACACCTTTTGCCTTCATGTTTAAGCTGGTCGTTTGGAATATATGAAGGTCACTTTTCTCTAGTTAAGTTGAACCAATATCAAGCTCTTTTCTCCACTCTTAATTTTAAAGATGCTCCAGTTAATGGCATAGATAAGATAGGGAGTATTACATTAAAATTTAAAAGCCTCTCTGGGCTTAGGCAATATATTTTTATTACTTGCCAGAGCAGAACAAATATGTTGCTTTAATTACCTTTGCAGTCTGATTTGTTGAAACCTGAAACTGTGAAGTTGTTTTCTCATCCTGTTTTTCCTTGAATCTGATAACCATGTTCAGATATATTATGAAATTATGGTTAATCAATTCAAAATATCTTTGATTGCTGAACCTAAGAAAGTTGCAAAAGGTTCTCTTGAGTCCAGAGTACTGGCACAAGATGTATGTATATTTCAGCTTAATAAACCTAGATACATTATGTCTAAGTTGATTCCTTTAGAACATCAATAGTTACAGTACTTTTTGATGAATGGGTAAGTTATAATGATAGCATCTGCCACCCACTGAAGATAGATGAGTATGAACCTGCATTTTTAGTTAATGAAGATTGTATACTTCCATGCTTAACTTGATCGCCCTCTGAGGATAAAAGTAATATTTGGCTTGCAGAAAACATTCTTTCCTATTCATAATATTAAATTGATGTACCTAAGTTCTAGACATTTGTATTATTTTACAAGAAAATTACATGAAGTAATGTAAAGAGCAGTATATTCTGTACTAAAGCTATGCACACTTTGAAAACTATTGAGAAATCCCATGCAAATTCAAGCACCA